TGTGGAAAACAGAGTAACTTGACACAAGAAGACCTGGTTAGCTAAAACAAGCTGACCAGACTTCCAGCTAACCAGAATTCAAATCCACACTTGAATCCTCCTTAAAGTCAAAGGGTTTTGAGCACACACTTTCAGCCCATTTCACAGCGGACACAGAAAAAATGCTTTCCTCACAGTCCTTCTCAGACTCTGAGCCCTCACAGATATAAGGGTGTCCTTACACTTAATGTCTGGCACCTTGCAATTGCACTTGCTGCACAAGCAATTCAGACACCCTCTACACAAAGTGAGAACAAAAAGAGAGAAACTTCACTGTACCTCAAACTCAGCTGAGGCTCCTCCAGGCACCGCCTGGACAACACCGTGGTGGAGACACACAGGGAAAGAGGCCAATCCATCTTTGCTCACAGCCAGCAGATACAGGATTCTGGCCCAGTAGTAAAGCACACAGGCTACTTTTGAATGTCTACAGCATTTTCTACTGTTCATCTCTGGATCAAATTTGGACCAAGGCTGGAGTTTTCAAAAGCACATCCCAAACTATGTTCAGAATCTTTATAATATGTTTTCATTTTGAGACATTTCCTAGCTTTGTTCATCCAAGATCAGAACCTCAGGAAAAGTGGCAAGTTTTGTATAGCCAAGCAGCTGTTCTAAGAGATAATCTATGTTCCTAAAGATAGAACTGACAGTTCCTAGTTCTAAACCAGAAATCAGCCCCTGCCATTCTCTCCAGAAAACAAAGTGAAAACATAGGGTTAATTGAATCAATAGGTCCTATAATTAAATGCTGCCAAATTAGCTGACATGATTGGACTACTGGGTTTGGTTTGTTTGGAGGGTTTTGTGTTGTTTATCCAAAGGTTATATATACTTCAAATACAGCTAATTTTGCAAACAGCTATTGAAATTTAGTTTAAAACTCTCTTAAGGAATAAAATTACAAGTTTCACAGAGACATGGACTCAACTCACTGGAAGCTACTGCAATCTGTCTTACTAGAAGTACTAAAAGAAAGAATTCTTTGCAAGGGGCTTGACACAAGACAACAAATATTCCTCAGCTGCTTTTACCCATGAGTGCCAAATCTAAATGAAGGAGCAATTAGGTCCTTCTAGCATGAGGTTAGAGGACCTTAATTCCACCTACAAATCCATAATTTAAGAATTGTCAGGTGTAAACTGATTATTCCCCTGATGGCAAAAAGTACCCCAGATTTTCAATAATCAGAAAACAGAGCTGCAAATGGCATTGTCTCTTTCCAGATGGTGCAACTCAGGCACAGATTCAATGAATTCATCACAGTATTCTAATTTTCACCACTTAACACTGCTGGTTTTAATAATGTCATTGCCTCCCTTATACTGTATGAAACACATATATATTTTATCTGGAAGGATCATATGCTAAAGCAGATAGTTTCTGTGACGGAATAAATAGTCTCATTGCATCACAGATTTAGAAAAGCATGTATAAAAATGCTAAAAGAGAAACAGCATACCATAACACTGGTCAAGCTTATCAACCAGCACTAACCCATCTCACAGATTGCAGAAAACAAAGAGAATTGACCAAGCCACACCTTTTCCCCATAATTCCTTTCAAACTGGCACCTTAACAAAGATACAGGATACACTCTGAAGCTGATGTCTGTTATGCCTTTCTGCCACCTCTCCAATCAAGAAAAAAGAACAAAGATCAGTTTCATCTGCAAGACTGCTGTAGGGAAAAACAGCAGTGAGCGTAAAACCATAAGGATTAGCTCATCTTTTCTCCTTAATACAACAGCAAACAATTAGTGTTAAAGTAAAATGGGTCAATCAAGACCTCAAATCCTCTTAACAGCTAGCACAGTAACCCATGTGGCCACAACAATCCAAATTAACCCCTTGGATACATCAGTTCTTTACTCCAATACCTAGAAAGCAATTACAAATGTCACACTGAACAGCTGTCTAAAACACCCTTGTGTAGTTTAGTAGCATAACCTGTGATTAAGCCTTCCCACAAAATAAAAGATTTTTTCATTAACTGAGGCAGGCAGCTTAAACCATCTCTTTCCCAGCACCAATCCTCTAAATCAGCTCCACCCCATGGAAATAAGTCTTGTGCTGTTTTTTTCTGATTAACTGAGATTCAGTACAGAACTGTTGCTAATAAGCACACCTGTACATGAAGCAGAAGGATGGAAGAAAAAGCACCAATCCTAAATATGACCCACCCATACTCTGCCTCAGTGTGTGCACATGCACTTGGGAAGAGATAAGCCATGTAATGATATCAGAGAACATTGCACATTTCCATGCTTTCTCTAGAAGTACTTGGTATCTCTAAATATCATCAAGGGGTTTACAACACTGAGTCCACATACCATGAATATATCTTCTTTCTCTTTTCAGAAAAAAAATTCCCTTTTCCATAAAAAAATTGCTTTTAAGCATGCTTACAGCTGACGTTCAAGCACAATTAAGCACATGTTTGAACTGAATAAATATAGATGGACCAAAACGAGCATCCTTGAGTCTTAAGAAACAATTCTACATATCTGCACATGCATACTTTTACTTCTTCCTCAAGTGCACACATGGACTTAAAAACAGCACAAAATCCAAAATATCTATATAATCAGATAACACAGATTAAAAAGGACCTTGGGAAGTCACCTAGTCTTAGGACCCCTATTACACCTTCCAAATACTGGTCATTATTTGTGCGCATGTTAAGTGCAACACTCCCTAATCCCTTCCTAGTTAAGGCTTCAATTCAGCTTCAAATGTCCTGCAGTCAGAAATGCTTCTTCTGAAACCCAGATAAAACCAAGGAGTGATTTTTTTTCTTTGACTGTGAGCCAGAAGTTTTACCAGCACAACTACTGTCCGCACTGTAGGTAAAAGATCTGTAAGGAACTCAGGCTTTAGGCACCAGTAGAACCTTTATTTTCATTTCTTAAGCTGATTATCATTTTTGCCACCATGGCAGATCTGATTTGAGATCCTTCATATGCTGCAGATGTATTACAAGCTCTGTCAGAACCTTGTGCCTTTGCAGAGAAATCAGTAATCAAAAGGTGAATTTTAGAAAGCCACTGTCATAAAGTCTTCACAACCTAAATTATTTTTGACTTCTCCCAACCCCATTAAGAAAACAAACCTGTCTCTAATACATGCATGACATGCCACATTGGTAGGTGAAGCTGAAACAGCCCAGCAGAATCTGCAATGAGCCTCACCCTTGTTTCTGGGTTAGATACTTCTAGCAACTTCCACAGACAGTTGTTAAGTGACTACAGTGCCAGAGCTAGAGAGGCCAGAGCCCACTGTGGTGTCAGCACACATAGCAAATGTTTCCTCTGTGAATTTAGGTAGATGGTTTAGCAAAGGGTAACTTGTACAGAAAGGGACATGACAATAGACTGAAAGGAAAGGTATGGTTCTGGAAAAAACATCTAGCAAGAAGGCAATTCTTAACCCACAGACTGCAGCAATTCATTTAGGGACTGCTGTGATCACATCACTCCTGCCTAGGCACAGCACCTCAGGGGTCAAATTTCAACTATTTCTTTATTATCCAAACATATTAAAGAACACAGCTAAGTGGGTATGATATAACATACCATAACAATTACATCAGACCTCTAAATCAAGGCTCAAAATGCTGCTTTATGTAACAAACTGCATTATAAGCACAATGGCCTGCCCTCCAGTGTGCTAAAACTCTCCACAGAAGAACAGCAACTTTTAATTCTCAGGATGACAGCTCTTTGGCTTCTCTCAAACACCCACAGGAAATGTGCAGTATAGGTGCAACAAACTGAAAAGTTCCATTTACCAAATCCTGTCCCTTGATGAGATAAGAAAAGATGAGAAGAGATAGAATTTATGGCACCACGCTCCACTGCTGAGATCACCCTTCTTCCCAGAACCCTGTGCCAGGGCTCACATTCATGTTTCATTATCATGCAGAATGGCCTCACTAAGCTATTGGGGTTATTTTCAGTGCGTTACTTCAGCTCATCTGTAAATGCCTGAGCTCTAGGAAACTGGTACCACATGAAGACTGACATCCTGCCCACTGCTGAGTGCACCATCAGTGTCTTGCAAATGAAATACACAGTGAGGAATTTGGTGGTTCCCAAGTCTTAGGTGATACATGGGTGAGTCTGGGCTCCATTACACATATCACACTTTCAGAATATCAGCTGAAGAAATGAACAACCATCCACAAATTTAACTGCACTGCCTTTAGGCTAACTGAAGAGAGTTTGTAGTACACTCAGGGAAAGTGCCCAGTCTTTTGCTGTTCATGAATCACTTCTTCGTAATCTGTGATGTAACACAGGGGCAACTTCACTGTGTCTTGCCCTCTCAGCACATCCTCTTCCCAGGCAAGGTCTGAGATGCTGTGATTACGCCATCCAGTCAGGAGGAGCAAATGAAGCTATAGAAAATAAATGCATTCTGCAGCTGAGGCTCTTCTTGGGTCTTTCAGCTAGGGATGTCTAGATCTGTAGTCTAGACATCCCTCCTAGTCTCAACCAGCACAGGTGAAAAGAAACAGCTTCTTTCATGGAGAGAAAAAAAAGGTTTGTGGCGAAAACGGGAAGAAACAGAACCAAAAGAATATGTGATTCACATGGAAGAACCCTTCTGAAAACAAAAGGGACAGGTTTTCTGAACAATAAGCAGCACAAATGCTGGACAGCAAATGATTTTTTTGTGAAGGGATGGGGTACGATTTATTGACATGACCACAGAGACATGACAAATTACGAAAATTGATGCTAGAGACCTAGAATAAGTAAGGCTTAAAACATATGTGTGCATACATCCCATTCTACTGCATGACTCTATCTTAATGCCCACTTACAAGTGAAAACCAGCAACTCTGTCTCAGGAGGAATCCTAACACGAAAATCCACCAAAAAAACACAAGAGAATATTCTTATCTGGAGGAAAACTGAAAGTTCCTGCTTAACCCAGGGAAACTGACCATGTCGGTACCTTTCATACCGAGAGCAATTCTCCCGGCATGCGCCACACCCCCTTCTTTCCCGAAGGTGTTCCATGAAGCACTTGTTATCCAAAGGGCAGATCGGAGTGTGTCCAAGGAGTACAGGGCAGATGAAGGCGAGCAGGGTTTATTCGGTGCCTCGGTGCAGCACCACGGCAGCACAGCAGCGCAGCACACGCCTACGGCTCCTACCTGCAGCCATCTGAGCCGGGCACGTTTTACATCATTTTCTCTTACATAAAAAGGCATTGTTCGCCGCTGGGCTGCCGTGCACGGCTGTTTTCCTCCGTGATCCATGCAACACAGGGAAACATTTTTTAGGTGGGTTGGTGGGGTTTTTTTTCCCCCCCTCCCCGATGCAAATTAACAGCGCTTACAGCCCTCGCCTCACACAACGTTCTTTGTTCAGCCGCGCAGATCCCCTTAGAGAAGCTTAGGGCTGGGGGCAGGAGAGGACAGAGGTTCACATCCTCCGGAGGGGTTTACAGCCCGGAGAGATCCTCAGAGCCCTCAGAGCAGGCAGCCGCCCCCATGAAGGTGTAAAACGGCCCCGGGAGGCCGCCGCGCTCCATTTTCACCTCCGGGAGGTCGGGCGGGGGCAACCCGCGGACAACTCCGCTCTGAGTCCGGGACTGAAGGGCCCAAAGGAGGGACGGAAGCCCGAAGGGACGGAGGGACG